ATGATCTTATACATTATGATTTATTGATGATATATATTTCTTTTTGAGGCAATATAATATATATATATATAGTTGATTTCCTTTTGGAGCATTGAACATTGATTATATGTTTATATTGAGTAAAATGATAATGATGCCGTTAAGTTTAGAAAGTTTTCTAGTTTATGGAAAAATAAGTAAGATACTTGATTAAAAAAATATTCTTTGTTGCATATTCAGTAAGATTGTTAACAATACGGGCATTCATACGACATTGTACTGTCTGCATTTTGACAATGTAACTTTTAATAAGTGAAAAACTAAAGCTTATTAATGTTAAACAAGTAGCGCCCTCTCCATTGGTATCTGAGTACATGTTAAACCATATTTTGGTTGATAGTGCTGTGTTTTACAAATATAAAGTTTGTAAAGTATGTTAAATCATGTTTTACAAATTATGCTTAAAAATGTGCTCATTGTTGAGTCAAAAAAGGTAATATGTTCCTCCAAAATAAATCATGTCATTATGTTTATAAATCATTATTTGTCATTTCATTATGTTCTAGCATGTTTTTCCAGTTGTTTAGTAGTTTAATTTAAAATAGATTTAAACAATAATTTCAGAAGATAAGAAATACATATTATGTTTCAAATAAGCAACATTTCTGTTCATGGGCTTTCATTGGACAATGAAAAATTCCCTTAGTATTACAACATATAATATCTGTTTAGAAATTCATTGTGTTGTAAAGATACTTAGTGTATGTTTTCGTGTTTTATATAAAAAAAAAGGTTTCGGATATGTAACAATCATGCTTCTTGTTCCAGTTGCACGAGTACAAAGAAGGTACTCCCTCCCAGAAAACCTACTTTGTAGAATTATGGGACATTGGTGGATCAAGCAGTCACAGAAACACCAGAGCGGTATTTTACAACTGTTTTCAAGGTATTGTGTTGTTACTTAAGCCTAGTAGAAATATCCCGAAACATGAACATTTCTAAGCAAATGTCTTCAGCATTTTTACGTATCAGTCAAGTTCCTCTACTGAACACGGACAAAATCGGAATGGGGAAAGGTGTGTTTGTTTTAGGGGCGGCAAATATTTGGTAGTACACAACGGTGTTCCCTCTAAGCTGTGTGGCTGCACAACAAGCAGTCGAGTGCTGCACACTTCATTATTCTGTACGTGCACATCCTCAGTATTGGTGAGGAGTCTCAGCACGTTGACGGTCTTAATGACTCTGGCAGTCAATAGGTCTAAAGCCCAAATAACTAACTGGTAGCATTGCACAGTGGCCTTATGATCCTGTAGGGTAGATGGTCTAAAAGAACTGGTAGCACACATTCGTACATTGCCTTGATACTGGTGTACATGAAAGAATTCATTCCGTGCATGGATTGAAAAATTTAGACGGAACCATCGGTACACAAAAAACCCAACTTGACTCTGATGGTTATATGGGCCGTTTGAATGAGAGAGTAATGAAATATGGCCTCGAAACTGAAATATTTACGGTTTTCAAAGTTTAAAAAGTTTGGTACAGAATATTAGAAATTTTTGGAAACAGTAAAAAAGTATTACAAGCGTTGACAGAAGCAATTTTTATTTCTTCTGCACTTTTTAACGGAAACAAATAAAAAAAAAGTTATTAACTACTGCATATTTGTTTACCTTTTAAGCCACTGGGATATTTTGCTTTAAGAACTCAAAACATTTTCAGCATTACTGACCTGTGACCATTTGCAGTTGTGCAGATAAAAGTTATTCCGTGCCATTTTTAAAAATGTAAACAGTTTACCTCTTCCAATCTGTACCGACAAAGATTCAGCACCATCAGAACTGCTACACGTGATCAAATGTGTATTCAAATCTAACACTGACGTATTTTGTGGTTCACGATGCACTTTCCGATGTTCAAGAATACGTGGCAGGTGCAGTGAATAAACTCTCGGCTAGTTATATCTGAAAAGGAAGATTAAGTATGTAAGTAGGTGAGACAAACTATAGATTATGACTTCTGCCTTAGTTAGAACCTGCGTAATTATTTTCTTAGAACTTGGGTATTTAATCGCTTTAATACCATACTACATATCTACTACTTACCAGCAGTAGTCTGGTTATTTTTATCAATCAGAAACATAGTTAATGTTGGTTTAAACAACACATTACTTTTTATTGTATGCCTAATACTTATTGACTTATGGTCAAGCTGGGGGAATTTACCCGTTGTTCTGACAACGTTAAGACGGCTTATCGACTTCTTGAAAAGAATTCTAAGAAGAAAGTAAACCTACAGACATTGGTCTTGTTTAACAAAAAAAAATAAACATGATTGTATACCTTTACTTGCCAGATGATATTGTAAGAAAAAAATCAGAATTTTGATATTTGGTGCTCATTTTTCTTGGAATTCTGGATACCAACCTGTACAGGATAAGTTTAGTTTTACTTTTTCAAATAGCATTTCTACTGCAGTTTTACTCAGAATGTGGCTTATGTTATCTGCACATGAGAAAAATGAGCTGTTTTTGTCAAAAAAATTGTTGTAAATGTTTCATAAATAATCTGAAATTTGATATTATCTTACTGACAAGAAATAATCGAAATCAGTTGTTTGTAATGTTGTGCATTACGTAAATATCTTGTATATACAGCTTTAATTTTACATTCTGTTATAATAAATTCCTAATTTACTAAGAGTATTGAAGAATTTTGTAATAAAAAAAAACGTTTTAAGTATCTAAGCCTAACAGTTTAGTTTACCATCTTTTAAGATTTTATACTTTTTCAGTGCCTTTTGTTGAATTGGTTTGGAAATTGTAATTAGTACTAGTGCCAACCGTTGCAGATGGCCATGTGTAGAAGGGTGTATAGATATAGAATCACATTCTACTGGTATTCTTTTTTACAGCAGCAGGTTATTACAGAATTTAAAAAACAAATTGCGAGGAAAAGAGACAAAATTTGATTTTGGAAATAAACAAAATAAGAAAAGAAACAACCAGAGTATAAAGATCTATGTTATCAGAGAATTTTTTGCCATGAGCATATTTTCTTGCTTATGTGAAAAATTAAACATTTTTTTACATATGTAGCATGTGGCTCCCTTAGGCTCTGCGGGTACCTAAATACAGCACTATTGCTGATTGATCAAGAAATGCGGAAACGTATAAGAAACAGATACACACACACACACACACACACACACACGTATTGACGTTTATCTATATAGATTTTCTTGTTGTATATAAGGATGGCATAATTGACTATTATTGACTTGATTATCAGTTGCTTTATTGATTTAATGACTTATATTTTATCTAGGTATCATTTTAATCCATGATTTGACCAATAGAAAATCACATCAAAATTTGAGGAAGTGGCTAGCAGAACTTTTGTGTAAAGAAGGAAATGTCAAAAAAAACACTGGGTAAAATATTTTCTGTTTTTGTGTTTCAATGTAATCTTCCTATTCTTGAGTTTTTTTTCCTGAACTTTGCTTATCAAGATCCCCTAAGCAATAAAATATTAAACTTTATTAAAACATCAGGTGTACATTCGATGATGAGGAACCCACTTTGAGACTAATACTGGTTGGAGATAGCTTGAATGTACAACAAATGTACGAGGTTTTGTCATCGTCATTCGACAAAACCTTATCGAAACGTTGTACATTTGCTGTCATGTTAAACTTATATTAAACCTTTTCTTTATTACCCATTCAAGCCGTCACCAACCAGTATCAGGTATACATGGTACTTAATTGTGAATGGGATTTAAGTCAGTTTGTTTAGTTTCAGTTTAGTGTCAGTGTTATGTTAAACTTGTATTAAAGTTTTTCTTCATTACCCATTCAAGCCGTCACCAACCAGTATCAGGTATACATGGTACTTAATTGTGAATGGGATTTAAGTCAGTTTGTTTAGTTTCAGTTAAGTGTCAGTGTTATGTTAAACTTGTATTAAAGTTTTTCTTCATTACCTATTCAAGCCGTCACCAACCAGTATCAGGTTTACATGGTACTTAATTGTGAATGGGATTTAAGTCAGTTTGTTTAGTGTCAGTGTTATGTTAAACTTATATTAAAGTTTTTCTTCATTACCCATTCAAGCCGTCACCAACCAGTATCAGGTTTACATGGTACTTAATTGTGAATGGGATTTAAGTCAGTTTCTTGTAGAAATGGAAAGTTATTAATATTTTCATACGTATCTAAGAGTTTTGCCATCTTGCCGGAAAGGGTTGCAACCTAGTGCTTGAGGCACTCTGTTCCAAATCATTTTACTTTTCAAATTTTTCATTCTTCAAATTCCCCTTCCTTCAAGGTTTTGATTCACAGTTAGGGACATATTGTTCTAAAGCTGCTTTGAGCATTTTGATTTTCACCTTTTTTTACATCCTAAAGTGTCTTGCTAAAAAATGCTTCCAGTGTTAGAACCAGGAAAATAGCTGCTTGCTACTAGAAACTCTAACCCTTTCCTCTGGAGGCCTGGTGGTTAGCAAGCTCGACTCGCAACCTGTAGATTCGAATCCCCATCACCTAACATGCTCACCCTTTCAGTGGGGGTATTATACTGTGACAGTCAATCCCACTTTTCATTAGTAAAAGAGTTGTCAGTGGGTGTTGTTTACTAACTGCCATCTCTCTAGTCTATCGCTGCTAAATTAGGGACGGCTAGTGCAGATAGCTCTCATGTAGCCTTGCATGAAATTCAAAACAAACGAGACCAAACTCTTTCCTCTGTAAATGACTGCTGGTGTGTTTACGATTATCTCTCTATTGCTTCATTGTAGAATAAACTGTATCCTATTTCTAATAGACTTGTAAAAAAGATTTCTTTAGCATGAAGTTATTTAAAAATATATGTTGCGTATAGCAGGTGATAGATGGTAGATCGTCAACATATTTACAGTCTGTAATTTTAACTGACAACCGTTTTAGTTATGGGTATGTGTATTTGGGAGAAAATGATGAAGACTAATGTGATGCATATCATTCGGGAATTGGTTTATTAAATTTGTATACGCTAAATAATAACGTTTGTCATCGTATAGATATACAGTTTAGTTAATACTAGTACATAAAATTGGAAGACTGAAGGGAAGACACAACTGAAAAGAAAAACAACTTAGTTATGTTTTATTTGATGATCTTTATTTAGAGGCTACATTTTATTTGGTTACTCACAGAAAAAATTGAATTCTTTGTTGCTTATAATGCTTCACATTTCTTGAATTCTTTGTTGTTTATAATGCTTCATATTTGAATTCTTAGTTGTTTATAATGTTTCACATGTGAATTCTTTGTTGTTTATAATGCTTCACATTTGAATTATTTGTTGTTTATAATGCTTCACATTTGAATTATTTGTTGTTTATAATGCTTCACATTTCTTGAATTCTTTGTTGTTTATAATGCTTCACATTTCTAGAATTCTTTGTTGTTTATAATGCTTCATATTTGAATTCTTAGTTGTTTATAATGTTTCACATGTGAATTCTTTGTTGTTTATAATGCTTCACATTTGAATTATTTGTTGTTTATAATGCTTCACATTTCTTGAATTCTTTGTTGTTTATAATGCTTCACATTTCTAGAATTCTTTGTTGTTTATAATGTTTCACATTTTAATTATTTTTTGTTTGTAATGCTTCACAATTGAATTCTTTGTTGTTTATAATGTTCTTCTAGTCATGATTTTGATCCAGAAGAGTTTGTAGACAACCAAATTCCCATACTAATAATTGGTACCAAGCTAGATATGGTTCAGCAGGGTTTATCCCCTAACCGATCGTCGTCTGTTGCTGAGGAGTGTGGAGCAGATGAGTTCTATCTTGTAGGTGTATTGACTAATTTTATCTTTTATATATTCTTAACTCTTAGGCTTATACTTCCTTGAAGTTTTCTTAACTCATAGGATCATATTTTTGAACTCATATTATTGAATTTTTCTTGTATATATTTTTAACTCTTAATCTCATTTATTTCGCGAGTATTTTTAACGTAAATACTTACTTTAGTAAGTGTTGAGAATGAAAATTGCTAAAAACAATTAAAATAGGATGTAAAGAAGGAATAACTTTTAGAGGAAACATCACCTTCCCTTGTAGCGTTTAGTTATTATTTCGTCACCACATCATCTGTAATAATTTTTAATGAATTTTATTAGGATACTTTAAGTATTCCAATTAATAATTATGTTGATGCTTTCCTCATATGTTTTTAAAGTATGGGATCGTGCATATATATACATACATAAACGCATATACTTACAATGTTGACTTGTAGTGTCGTATTTCCTTCATATATTGTTAAAGCTTAGGCCTCATGCATTGCCAATGTAGAGTCATATATATTTCTTTCATAAAACTCTTATTTCTTATTTTTAAAACTGTCTTTGTATGATTTTAATTATAGTTTAAAGTGAACTTTTCAAAATGAATGAGTTCTTTATTGGAGTTTCTATGGTGACTGAATTTAGTTAATGTAACAAAGGCTATTGTAATTATTTACAAGAGTTTTTCAATCTTACACCCATCCACTGTCATAGAAATTGTAGCTTATAATGTAAATAGATCTTTAGAAAACAGTCAAGAAACTAGTAACTTTTTGGTTTTGGTAAGAAAGAATCTTATCTTGATACAAAGAACACAAATGACATGGAGAGGCTGTGAAAGTAAAACTACTAAATATATCTCACAACAGACTTGCCTATTGTTTGGCCGGATTTTCAGTAATTTTATTTCAGCATTATCATAATTGGTTTCATACTTTTTTTTTTTTTAGAATTTTGACTCAAGCTACATCATTGTATATTTTTTCAGTAAAATCGGGTTTTTAAAAATTTATTCAAATTAATCTTACTTTATTACTGGGCAATATTATATTACTGGGCAATATTATATATCCTTGTATGAAAACTACTAGTCAACAGTTTACAAAAGGTGTAAAATAGTGTATTAGTAGATACACATCATAGTAGCAGGGTTGTAAGCTGTGGTTTATAGTTTGTGAAATATAGTTATTTGTT